CCTCTGTTGTCACGGACCAGGCGTCATGACCAACACAGGACGCCGTGTGCGGCACTGGGTCTCCTGGGCACGCGCTTTCTAGCCGTGAGTTTCTCCCTCCCCTCCTCTTCTCCTCCTTCAACAGCCCCCCACTCTGCCAGGAAACTGAACAACTGCAGTATGTCCCACACTTGCCTCCAGGGTCACATAGGCACTTGTCAGCCCACTGCCAGAACCCAGGGCCAGCGCAGAGAACCCTGAAAAGAGCGGCTGTCAGGGTCCTTGTCCAGAGTTCCGCTGCCCTGTCTGGCCCTCAGTCTCTTGCTCTGGCCAGGCCCTGGCATGAAGCTGCCAGCGAGTAACTGAATGGAACTAAAGCAGACTCAAAAGTGCCCTCCGCACTTGGGTGCTCTGGTGTCCGCAGGAGGAATCAGCCACCTTTTGGATCACTTATGCGACTGAAGCTGATCGAAAACTGTGTTACAAGGGGCAGGAAAATTGGGTCCCCTCCTGAGGCCGGGCACAGGGCAGTTCCAATTCCAGCACATGGCAAGAGCTGGGGGAAGAGACAGTGCCCAGAGAGAAGCCCAGAACCGGAATGGAGCCAGCAGCAGAGGCCGGGCAGCGTCTGGGCCCAGGCAAAGCACCTGGGGGCCCAGGAAAGCCGAGACATGGGCATTGCTCTGCCTGCGGGTTCACACCCACATTGAAAACAAAAAACGCTGAAGAGAGGGGTAGGGATGGTAGGGACAGCAGAGCCACCAAGCTTAGACGCTTCCCAAGGACAGACCCACACAGGCACACAGTCACCCACCACCAGGAAACACGCGGCGTCTCTGCCCATCTGACCCGACCGCCCCAACACCCCTTGCTTCCTCCCCTGGTGCCTGTGACTGCCACATGTTCTCATGACAGAAAGGGCAGATCACACAGGCCCCCACCCTGAAGCACCTGAGGTCTCCCTGGGTCTGGGCCTCAACCCAATGGCCTTGTTTCCTTCCTGCACCTTCTGCATGGGAGGAGGAAGGTCAGGGCTGCCCGAGGAGGAGGAGGTGCAGAGAGTCACACTGGCCAGGGCAGGGGGCCCAGGCCGAAATAACAGGAAAGGCAGGCGGCGCTGGGCCGGGGCCAAGTTCAGTAAAAACACACCAGGCCTCACTTTGCTGGGCCTGGGTGGGGACGGGGAGCACTGCCAAGACAGGAGGACAGGGTTCCCCTCCAGGGCAGCATGACAGCCACCAGGTCCAGTGGCAGCAGAAGACAGCAGGGATGGAGCTTCCAGTCACAGAAGCTGGTGTGGTGAGGACCGCTGTCCCTGTACCCAGCGAGAGGGGAGAACTTGAGGGCTGGAGAAAAGCGCCAGGTAGGAGTGGCCGCTGGAAGTCTCAGTGGTGTCCCTAGGCAGGGAGCCGAGCACGAGAAAGGGGACAGAGGGGATGAGAGGAACAGTGAAGGCCACCCCTGCAGGCTGTAGGGCAAAACAAGGAGACTGGGCCTCACCTTGCTTCTCAGAGGTCTCCTGTCCCAGCCCTCAGTGGGGACACTCAGGACTCCCTGTGCCAGGCAGCCACCCTTACCCTGCTACCCACACACTGGGAGGAAGTCACCCTGCCATGCACGCCAGCCATTTGGGGCCACCTCCACTTCCAGGCCACCCAGGTCACCAGCCGCAGCCCCCTCTGGGGCTCAGCCCCTCTTCCTGTCCTCCACTAGAATCTGGGACCCCCAGCCCAGAGGCAGCACAGGAGCCCTCTCCAGGTCTCAGCCCCTGCCGCATATGAAGTCCGATGCAGACCAAGCAAGGGACTGCGTGGTGAGAGGCCTAGCCAGTGTGGTCCCCGGCGCAGTCTGCAGGCCGCTCTTCTCTCTTCTGCCCATGGAGGCTACCCCATGTACCACCTCCCAAGTGCGGCTCTCCTGCTTGGCCTCCAGGAGCACCACTGAGCCTGCACAGGACGGCCCTGTGGAAGGCAGGACCCGGGTAGCAGGGCAGCAGCTGATGGTCCAGCTGAGGGGGCCCTGGCTCTGGACACTGCAGATTCAGGCCGCAAATCTCGGAGCTTAGCTAAGGGCCCACCAGGAGCGTTGGGACAGAGACCACGGCAGGGGCCTATAGGCCAAAAAAAGAGGCCAGCAGTCCCAGGAGCAGGAGGATCCCCAGGCTGCTTAGGATGCACAAACTGCAAGCCCCCCCCCCCATGCTCAGGGACTCAGGTGACAAGGAGCTCAAAGTTCGGTCGGTCGGAGAGCAGGCCGCCACCCAACCAGGATGAAGCTGGCCTGGCTGCAACCCCTGAGGGCTTCCCCTGCCGGGAGGGGGAAAAGCGGCACAGCCTGGCTTGCGGGGCGAGGCTGGCTCTGGACGCCCAGACCTGGAGTACGCAGGAGGCTTTCAGGAAATGATTTCAGGACACGCTGAGTCACAGTTGCGCCATGTGAGAAATGTCCCCAAATCTGATCGAGTGGTGTTTTTTTCCAATTCCTGAATTTCCACACTTGGGTTTCCCGCATACTTACAGGGAACCCCGTACTTATGCAACACCGGCCTGGGGCACAGACTGCCCTGAACCCACACCTCGAACCTCGGCTGGAGCTGCTGCGAGGTCCTGCTGCGTCTCCCCCAAAAGACGGAATCCGAGTTTCTGCTGCTTACTGGGGTTTCCACCCTTCTCGCCCTCGCCCTGTCGGTACACTCCAGCAGCCAGGCCTCGGCCCCTGGAGCCTCCGCACACCCCACCCCTCACACTGCTAAGTCACCGTGGGGCGGGAAGGCCCCTCCTTCGCGCCTCTGGCCTTTGGCCCTCGGGCAGTGGGGCCACCCCACCGCAGAGCCGCAGGCCCAAGCTGGGCCCCCCCCCATGACAAAGCGCTTTTAGGCCCCGGCCCCGCGGCCGCTAAAACGCTGAGTCACGGTGCCCAGCCCACCCGACGCGGCCTTGGAATCCAGTCCGGCTCTTCCCCGCCTGCGGTCCCTCCCGGCTCAGCGCCGCCGCCCGCATCTGTTCCCGAAGGCCCCGCCCCGCCCCGCTGGCGCCTCTCCGAGTCACGCGGAGCCCCGGGCGGGTGGAGCGGGCAGAGGCCTGGTCACCAGGACCGCACAACGGAGCCTGTGTGGAGGCGCCGCAGGCTTGGAGGGGCCGATCTAACACCCAGGGCTCCCTAGCGTGGGGAGCGGGCACAAACTAACACACGAACGCCAGGGCGCGGGCGCACGCATGCATGCGCACACCCGCCTGCCGCTCCGCGCCCCCCAACAAGCGGGCCCTGGTCTGCGGCGCTGCCCACTGCAGCTCCGCGTGCACGCGTTTGCCGAGCACGGAGCCCACCGCCTGTGCCTCCGGGGGTCCAGCGTCACCCGCCTCTGTCCAGCTGGGCCCTGCGACCTGGGCCCTGCGACCAGCAGCTGGCCCCATACCAGCCCTCCAAGGCTGCCTTTCCTCTGCACCCCGTGGCCCAGCAGCGCAGCCAGAAGTCTGGGGCTCCTGCCCGCTCCATGCCTTCTGCTCAGGCGCCTCGTCCTGTCTGGCCTGTCCCCTCCAAGGCTCTCAGATCTGCCCCTTTGACCTCTGCTCTCTGCCACCCTACTGAAACCCAGCCCTTCTGCCTGACTGGAGCCCGTCTCCACATTGGATCATGCTTCCGCTGCTCAGGCATTAGTACTGGCCACAAGCACCTCGCAAGATGCTGGGGAGGAGAGAAGCAGGGCCTGCCTGGCAGCGCTCAAGTCCCACCCTGGGAGAAAAGGCAACCGAAGGTCCTCACAAACGGGGATCAGCCTTCCTCTGACAGGGCTGGGCACTGGGCACTTTTTCTAGTCCCAGCACTTGGGAAGCTGAATGGGGGAATCCAAGACCACTTAGGAACACAGTGAGGCCCTATCTCAAAAAAAAAAAAAAGAAAAGAAAAGGAAAAAAAAAAAAAAACTACCAGTGGGGAAGCAGGGGCTGTAGCCAGCAGTTGAGCGCCAGTGGGCTCTCCCCACTATGCTAGGTATTTATAGGTGTAATTAAATATTCTACACACATACTGCAGCTCCACTCTTCCTTGGGAGCTGCCGGCAGCAGCACAAGTCGTTGTTGCCATTTTAATTTTGTTCCCATCTTCTGCCTCACAGGTTTTCATCTCAAGCACTGAAACCTGCCAGCTGTCCTTGATGGCTTCTGACAGCCCGTTCAAGGAATAATTGATCATCCTCCACTCATGCCTCTCAAGTTTTCTGGGCTGTTTTAAGACTTGGATTTTTAAACATAGAAGGTATCACTCTTCCCGAGGTATCAGTGGGTCAGACATCATTGACAAAGCCCATCCTTCTCCCCTAGCCCGAAGCACGGACTGCACTGGGGCAGCTCTGCCAGCTCCACACCCGAGTCCTCACGACTCTGTGGCTCCAACTGCTTGGTCACAGCAACCTTGTCTCTCCTCGTGCAGCGCTGGCTCACAGTGGGTACGGTGCCTTCTTCACAGCAGCGAGGAGAGTCCACCCTCGCAACCTCTTCTCCCCCAAATGCTGCCTTCTCCACACACTCTTCTGCGTGAGCTTTGGGCCCCCCACGTTCTGTGGAAACTGCACTGGATATGTAAGTTTTGGGGGGCGGGAGCGGGCACCCTTACAAGGCAGAGCTTTGCCTGCACTCGCTGCCTTTAGAGCGAGGTGTGCTACTCTGCCCACGGGCTTATGTTAGCTTCTGTCGCCCATATACACGTAGGTGAGTCTTCCCTTTCACTCCACTTCCACCTGGGGATGTTCTGCCTGGCTGTGCTGCCACGCTGGAGAGCTTTGAATCCTGCACATAGTGACCAGGTTCTACTATCCCAGTGGTTTCTCTGTTGATTCAGTGGGAAAGTTCCTAAAACCAAAGCCAGAGTAGTGTGGCCAGGGCCTCCCAAGGAAGCTGAAGCACTTGTTGTGGCACCCACCTAAAGGGCCTGCTTCCATGTCCACCTCTGGGCACCCCAACAAGCACCCCACATTCCAGCCTGGTGTAGTTTTTAACATTCTGCGTGCACGTCCGCAGTGTACAATGGTTATGCTGTCGTGGGGGCAGCTGCATGTACATCACGCGCTGTGGCTGCATGTACCCGGGCCTCTGACCAGGACCCCAAAGCCTCCTGCCAGGGTGCGTGTTGCCATGGGTACGGGGAGGCCGCAGAGCCACCGCCAACGCTCCCCGCGGTTTCATTTTGGCAGAGCTGCTCTGTTGAAGCCTGGGGATCCAGGTGCCAACTGCGCGGGTCCTGAGAAAGACCCAGGGACAGGACTCAAAAGTCACATCCTCTGGCCTGTCCCCCTCCTCCAGAGCAGCCATAGGTGGAGGGCCTGGGCCTGGGTCGCGTTTCCACAGCTGAGAGCCTCCGGCCTGCTGCAACTCAGAGGTCCCTCTTTTCAGTGCTCAGCACCACCACGATTCCGCTCTAGCCGGGGGACCTGCGGGTCCGTGGTGCCCGTGACGCCGTCCACTCGGAACAGCCGAGCTGTCAACGAGGAGGCTCTGGCCGAGGTGCGGCTCCGGGCCCAGCCCTGGTCCCAAGGGGCCCTGCGCACGTGTCCCCAGCGTCCAGACTAGGGACCGA